CACCACCGCCACCACCACCACCATCACCACCGATATTCCGGGATTTCTAGTGCCCTGTCTCCCTCAAAGGGAACGTTAAAGAACACCTTCTTTCTAGCCAGTTGTTATTCCATCGTTTGGTTTTGATTCCATACGTTGTCGAACAAATGCCTTTGAGATCCGTTTTTCCTGAGGATGTCTCTTATAAAGATCAGCTCTTTATTCAGGGTCTTCGGACTAAAATTTCTCTTTGCCCTGTGGGCTAGATAGTTCACCAAGTTTATAACCCAGTAGGACGAAAATTTAAAAATGTGTGTACTGTTCAATCCACGTGCTCTTACGGTATACTTTTCTTTCGATATGGCCATCCTCCGTACGACAAAGATTAATGTCCAGAAAGGCGAAAAAGTTGTCCATCTCCATTGTAAATCGTGTACCCGGATGAGCGTTGTTAAATATTTTAAGTAACTTATTAATTTCCGTCCCGGAGTCACTGTCTTTTTTCGCACACGTTCAGACCTGCTTTATCCATTCTAGACTAACACCTTTCACATCATGTCTAATTCACACTTTTTACCCGACATTTCCCTATCCAATGATCGTGACCCCTTAGCTTGTTGTTAACCAAACGTTTTGCACACAGACATTCATTCAACATCAGCCTAAGCCTTGTATTATTCTACTGACTAATCAAACCATATATGTAAATGCCTGAAGCAATAGATCGAAAAAATTTCTTCGCCTTTCAACTTTGTTCTTGCACTGTTTTCCGTTAATCTGAAGTATCCATTTGTGTTTCAACTCTTCTAGCCGAAATTCCAACCGATGTCAAATCGGTGGAAGTCGAGGCGATTTCCGCAGAGCCTGAAAAGGACTGGAAAGCACATTTGCTCGAACATCTTCAGACAACCGGGACCCAGTTCGAACCGGTCACGATCCAGACGAGTGCGGAAGCGGAGCCCACCCAATTGATCCCGGATGATCAGTTTCAAGCAGAGGTTCGCATACGACATCCGGACCTGATCAGCGCACTTCCCGTGACAGAAATGAAACCGATCGATCGGGAAACGCGACTTTTGATTGCGCAAGAGTTAGCTGAGA